TAGAATGAGAGAAAATTCCCAGTAAACGTTCTTTTCCCAGTTTTTGTTTTTAGTGTAATGTATGATGCATCTACTTTACACAGCGGGTAGAATTTTTCCTTTCTTTTCTGTTGTGGACTTATTTTCACACAGAAAAATAGCGTCATTCCATACACTGACACCTTCGATCAGCGTCTACCGTTAAGGCCCCCACCTCAGGATCGACCTTTTCAAGTTTTTCGAAAACCATATACAACGATAGCTCCAAGTGTCCTCTTTCAGAATATGTGATGATATCTACAAGATCTGACTTTTTTGATAGCTAAATTCCCGATCTCCTGGAAGCCCCGATTTCCAGCCAAACAGAAAGGTTGCTCTAGATGTCACTAAAAACTAACTGAATCGTGTTTCAACAATTGCAGATGTGTGGAGAAATATCTCCTCTTCAAAATGAGATGTTTCTGACGGTGTTTCATGGTTTCTGGATCGAGATCTAACCTATTTACTAGAAGCACTAATCGCATCACCGAATGACTCATTGTTTGTTTATCTCAAAACTGTCGAATTTTCTTTAAAAATGTGAGTAGTCCGACAATTTTCGTGCAATTTTGGTCGGAGTGGTCTCATTCGATAGAGCATTGAAAAATGAAGAGATTCTAGCATCTAATTTTTAGATTTTTCCTCCTAAGCCGAGATATGATTTTTACCTTGAATTATTTTCTTGTTCTTTTCCACACTCTCGTGTTGTTTATCGAATATCTCGACTCAGGAGGAAAAATCTAAAAACTTGGTGCTAGAATCTCTTCATTTTTCAATGCTCTATCGAATGAGACCACCCCGACCAAAATCGTACGAAGATTGTCGGACTACTCACATTTTTCGTAAGACTTATTTTTTTTCTAGTAAACATTTTTTTCCTTTTTTCTACAAATTCTGATTGGATAAGACTTTGATAGTTTTCAAGTTAGACTAGTCTCTACCTCAGAAAAAAATCTCAGCTCGATCGGTCCACGGGAGGCCAAGATCGATTCCTGAGGTGTGGGGGGGGGGGGGGCGCCCGGCACCCAGCCGTTTGCTGGGGGCTTTTTACCGCCGTTTNCCCCCCCCCCCCCCCCCCCCCCCCCCCCCCCCCCCCCCCCCCCCCCCCCCCCCCCCCCCCCCCCCCCCCCCCCCCCCCCCCCCCCCCCCCCCCCCCCCCCCCCCCCCCCCCCCCCCCCTCAAGGCACGCATCCGTTTTCTTGCTGCTTTTTAACGACGTTTTTCTTTTCTGTTGCAGAAACGATCAAAATGAGTTCAACAGGCACCGATGAGGAGAAATTCAAGTCAACTTTGATGGAAATGATCAACTTTATCCACGATGAGTGTGATAAACGCAACCGAGAAAGTCCGACCACAGACAATCGGCTCGACAATTCAATACCGACTATGAGCCTTAGTACAATTTCATGTGACCGTGAGGAGGAGGATTTCATGCAAGTGTTAACAGAAAAAACTGAAACCGTATTCGGACGATCCGTACCTCCATTGATGGCCAGTGTTTTCGGAGAGTTCGTTAGAAATATTCTTTTCGAACATCACTACGACCTCGAAAAGCTTCGATTCAAAGAAAAGCTGACGATGAATAGTATTGATGCATTTGTTCGTGATCTTCAAGCAACACATGATTCTGTAGATGCTTTTCGAGCTGCGTGGGATGGAAAAGTTCAACTGGTGAAGGATTTTCTTGGTCAGTATCCAACATTCAAGGATAAACCTGGTCCTTGGGGCACAACGCTCCTCTATTCAGCAGCGAGAAACAACAAAATATCCGTGGTTGAGTATCTTGTTAGCGATGCTCGTTGTTCGGTCAATGCCCAAAATCAACAACATTTCGAGAGAGCTCTATCGACTGAAACGATCACCGCTGCTGATTATCAAGTCTCACCGAAATTCGGCTCTACCGCATTGCACGGAGCATGTTTTGCTGGGCATCTGAGGGTTGTGCAATATTTGATTGAGCACGGTGCGAACTATTTTATTCGTAATCAAGCGGAAGAAACTTCTGTTTTGAATGCTGAATTACACCCAGACATTGTGGAATATTTGCGAAATCTGCTTAATCGTGGTTATTTGAAAGAACAAAGCAAGCTGCCAGAAACTCCAATCACTCAAATGAATCAACGATCCTCTAAAGATTGTGTCTGGGAATTCTTGCCCTTTCTCGAGAGACGTTGGCTTCCGTTTCAGGAAAATGAATCGAATGAGTTGAATCAATCATTAGTAGTCAACGAGGGACAACAGTTCAATCGGGAAATTCAATGGAACATGACCCACACTGTGTCGATGGTTCAGTTTCTTCGACGCGGTAATCAGCAGGAAGACCTCGCTTGGATCCGATGTCGAGGCTCATCCATTCTGAATTTTGACTGCTATGCGCTATGGCAACTCCTATTCCTTAAGCATCCAAACGGGAAATCGAATTCTAACGATCGAATGTC